ATAGTTAGTGTGTATTCCTTTAGTTAGTATTTATTCTTGTAGTTAGTGTGTATTTCTATAGTTAGTGTTTATTCCTGTAGTTAGGTTGTATTGCTATAGTAAGTGGGTATTCCTATAGATAGTTTGTATTCCTATAGTTAGTGTGTATTCCTATAGTTGGTGTTTATTCTTGTAGTTAGTTTGTATTCCTATAGTAAGTGTGTATTCCTATAGTTGGTGTTTATTCTTGTAGTTAGTATGTATTCTCATAGTTAGTGTGTATTCCCATAGTTAGTGTGTATTTCTATAGTTAATGTGTATTCTTATAGTTAGTGTGTATTCCTATATTTAGTGTGTATTCATATATTTAGTGTGTATTTCGATAGTTAGTGTGTATTCATATATTTATTGTGTATTCCTATAGTTAGTGTGTAATCCTATATTTAGTGTGTATTCCTATAGTGTTTAGTCCTGTAGTATATGTGTATGCCTATAGTTAGTGTTTATTCCTGTAGTTAGTTTGTATTCCTTTTAGTTAGTTTGTATTCCTATAGTTAGTGTGTATTCCTTTAGTTAGTATTTATTCTTGTAGTTAGTGTGTATTTCTATAGTTAGTGTTTATTCCTGTAGTTAGGTTGTATTGCTATAGTAAGTGGATATTCCTATAGATAGTTTGTATTCCTATAGTTAGTGTGTATTCCTATAGTTTGTATTCCTATAGAAAGTGTGTATTTCTGTATTTAGTGTGTATTCCTATACATGTAGTTACTGTTTATTCTATAGTAAGTGTGTATTCCTATAAATAGTGTGTATTCCTACAGTTGGTGTGTTTTAGAATTAAATTTCATTAGTTTATTCTTTGTCTTCTATTCATAGAAGCACCTGCCCCAGAAGACTTAATGGAACCCTATGTTGATCCAATCATCGAACAATCAGCAACAGACTGCCCAGGAACCTCTACTGTGCTATCCACAATCAAATCCTCTACAGACTTTACAGTACAATCTGTAGTCAACCTTGCTGCAGATACTGAAACTCAACCCATTGTTTCTTCTGGAGACAACGCCTCTGCAGATACTGGAACTCAACCCATTGTTTCTTCTGGAGACAACACCTCTGCAGATACTGAAACTCAATCCATTGTTTCTTCTGGAGACAACGCCTCTGCAGATACTGAAACTCAACCCATTGTCTCTTCTGGAGACAACACCTCTGCAGATACTGAAACTCAACCCATTGTTCCCTCTGGAGACAACACCTCTGCAGGTACTGAAACTCAACCAATTGTTTCTTCTGGAGACAACACCTCTGCTGATACTGGAATTCAACCCATTGTTTCTTCTGGAGACAACACCTCTGCAGATACTGGTACTCAACCCATTATTTCACCTGGAGACAACACCTCTGCAAATACTGAAACTCAACCCATTGTTTCTTCTGGAGACAACACCTCTGCAGATGCTGAAACACAAACTTCTGAATCAGTGTCTATCCCTGGCATTGACCAGTCAGAACAGGCATTAACACAAGCTGTCATTAGTCTTCATTATACGACTGAAGGCATGGAGAACAGTACTATTAAGTTTGATTTCCCTAATCAACCCAGACCTGCAAAAAAGAAGACAGAAGATGTTGTGGGCACAGGTGATGAGAATCCAGGACCTTCTGGGGCACAATCACACACAGACACTGCTGAAAAGGAAAAAGAAGATGAATTTGCATTTTTTAATCGCCCCAGTAATGATGTTGAACTAAGAATGTTATCAATTCAGCCAGTAGGTAGTTCAGTTGATGTCCAGCTAGCAACCATTAAAAAGAAACGTAAACGTCTTGAAAAAAGTCAGTCATCAGACGTAGAGGAGTTACAGAAAGCCAATAAAATATCAGGCAAACGAACAAGTAAAACACAAAGGGGTGCTGACGATGATGAGTCAAGTAGTTCTAGTTCAGAGGAAGACAATAATAGTAGGAGTAATATTAATGAAAACACTGTAAGTTCAAAAGACTGTGAAAATAAAAAAAAAGTGTATCACTCTAAGGAAGCTGACAAAGGAGTACTTTCTAAAGACAGTGATTCTTCCCCAGACTCAAAACGAAGTCGTGGCTGGGTTCACCAGACATTCACTGAGGAACTTGTTGGTGTGCATAAAGACTTGTGTACAGATAACTCAGAGACAATCAGCAGTTCTGAAGTCAATGTGAACAGTAATACAACATTTCAAGATAGCTTGGATGTTGAGACTCCAATGGAGGTACAAGCAGATGTTGTTGAACAGTCATTAGATACAATTGACACAAAGCAAGAAGACATTGTTGCATTGCCAAGTACATCAATAGAGTCTTCAGCTAATGGTAAACAAGTTGAGGAAAGCAAAGTATTTGCTCTTCGAGACAGGATAGAAGACAATCAGCCACAGGTGAATATAACCATAGCTTATAAACCATAGTCATCCCACCCTGTGGAAGCATAGTAACCATTGTTTTCTAACCCTGGGGAAGCATAGTAACAATTGTTGTACCACCCTGGGGAAGATTGACCATAGCAAGGAAACCATTGTTTTCCCACCCATGGGAAGCATAGTAACCATTGTTCTTCCACTCTGGGGAAGCTTAGTAACAATTGTTGTCCCACCCTGGGGAAGACTGACCATAGCAACCCATCTTAGGGTCATAGGGCTTTCCCTGACCTAGATTTTATCTCCCCGTCATTGGCAGAATCGCTGATTAATGCCTACAGTTCAAAATAGTCATTTTGACTGACCGGAGTCTATAGTGGGTATGAACTATGTGAATAGGTGGGTTTGGAGAACCCTCTGCCAAATTTCAAATGAATTAAGCTTATACTTCAGTTCCAACCTTTTTTAGCTCCGCTGTCGATTTTGTCAAGCGGAGCTTATCATATGAGTGATTGTCCGTCGTCGTCCGGCATCCATCGTCCGTGTCAATGTTTTACTTTTTCGACTTCTTCTTGAAAACTACAAGCCTGAATGCTTTGATACTTGGTGTATATGTACCTTGGGTAGACCTCTCTCAGATTTGTTCATTTCATGATCATATCTTCAATTCTCTAATTTTGGTGAATATTTTTGTCATTTTTGGTAAAAAGTGATATTTTCGACTTATTGTTAAAAACCGCAAGTCCAATTGCTTTGATATTACATATATAGGTACTACATGCTGACCACTCTCAAATTTGTTCATTTTGTAATGATATCGTCAATTCTCTAATTTTGGTGAATATTTTTGTCATTTTTGGTAAAAAGTGATATTTTTGACTTCTTGTTAAAAACCGCAAGTCCAATTGCTTTGATATTACATATATAGGTACTACATGTGGACCTCTTTCAGATTTGTTCATTTTGTAATGATATCTTTAATTCTCTAATTTTGGTGAATATTTTTGTCATTTTTGGTAAAAAGTGATATTTTCGACTTCTTGTTAAAAACGACAAGTCCAATTGCTTTGATATTATTACATATATAGATACTACATGTGGACCTCTCTCAGATTTGTTCATTTTGTAATGATATCTTTAATTATCTAATTTTGGTGAATATTTTTGTCATTTTTGGTAAAAAGTGATATTTTCTTCTTGTTAAAAACCACAATCATTTATGGTGAAAAAATGATATTTTTGAATTCTTGTTGAAAACAGCAAGTCCCATTGCATTGATACTATACGTATTGTTCATTTTCTAATGATATCTTCTGTTCTTTAATTGAAATGTGCATTGCTAACAGCGGAGCTATCTCAGCCGAGAGGCTGCTTGTTTGACTTCTTCTTGAAAACTATAAGCCTGAATGTGTTGATACTTGGTGTATATGTGCCTTGGGTAGACCTCTTTCAGATTTGTTCATTTCATGATGATATCTTCAATTCTCTAATTTTGGTGAATACTTTGTAATTTTTGGTAAAAAGTAATATTTTCGACTTCTTGTTAAAAACCGCAAGTCCAATTGCTTTGATATTACATATATAGGTACTACATGTGGACCTCTTTCAGATTTGTTCATTTTGTAATGATATCTTTAATTCTCTAATTTTGGTGAATATTTTTGTCATTTTTGTTAAAAAGTGATATTTTCGACTTCTTGTTAAAAAACAAAAGTCCAATTGATTTGATATTACCTATTTCCAGTGGATTTTCAGTGATAAGCTAAATTCCACTGTATGTTTGGTTTGCAATTATTTTCAGTGAGTTGAATGTAAAATATAGAAAAAAGTATTTTTTCTGAAAAATAGCAAAAATAAATTTTAAGTTAATATAAATTAACAGTGGTTCATTTAATAATAGCATTATTTCCTGTGCCAGGTGAGACGTACCAGTCAGCATATATTACCATCATTAGAACACTCTCGTAGGCTTGGTATGAGTGGCCCAAGTACAGTTACAACTGTCAACCGACAGCCACAAGTGGATGAGACTCACAGAGCACCTATGTTACAAGAATCTAATGATGCTGATCAAAATCAAAGGTTAAAGGACAGAGTAGAGCACTCAAGGTTTTTATAATTATGTTTATTTAAATCAACATTTTGGTGGAATCTAATGGATGCATGTGTACATGTACCGGCATGGAGGTGTCTGTGATCACCAAGTGATCGTAACCAGACAGTTCGTACTGTGCAACATGAATCCAACATGTAACAGTGTGACACATTTTTCTTCTGTTATTTCTCATGCAAAATATAATTTTCATGTTGATTTATATGTATCAGAGAGTAAACTCAATATATATACCATTGTTAGCCACGATGACAAGTTGCAGAATTAATATCCAAGATAGCGGTTTGAACTCTCATAAATTAATCAAGTTTTACTGTATTAATAATAAGGGAGTGTAATATTTTTTGTCCAAGATTTAAAAAAAAAAAATTAGTAGAAGTTTATTTTAAATTATTTAAAATGAAAGACAAATAATTGGAACCTGAATCATTCACCAGAACCATGTCACAATCTCACTATCATGTCTATGTTGTGCAGCAATGTCTCCTGGTAGTTACTTGTTTGTTTTTTGACATCGAGGTAGAGGCGTTTCAAAGGCACTTTAAGTTGATCAATTTTAGGTGTGTTGCACCTAGTTTCGCATTTTGCACCACTTTTCCACTGTTTTGCACGTAGTTTCGGGTTTTGCATCACTTTTTCACTATTTTGCACCTAGTTTTGCTTTTTGCACCACTTTTCCACTACTTTGCACCTAGTTTTGCATTTTGCACCACTTTTGCACCACTTTTGCACCACTTTGCACCTAGTTTCGAGTTTTGCACCACTTTTCCACTGTTTTGCACCTAGTTTCACGTTTTGCACCTCCTTTCCACTACTTTACACCTACCGGTAGTTTCGCGTTTTGCACCAGTTTTGCACCACTTTGCACCTAGTTTCACGTTTTGCACCTCCTTTCCACTACTTTGCGCCTACCGGTAGTTTCGGGTTTTGCATCACTTTTTCACTATTTTGCACCTAGTTTTGCATTTTGCACCACTTTTGCACCACTTTGCACCTAGTTTCGCGTTTTGCACTACTTTTCCACTGTTATGCACTAAGTTTCGAGTTTTGCACCACTTTTCCACTGTTTTGCACCTAGTTTCGCATTTTGCACCACCATTCCACTACTTTGCACCTAGTTTCGCACCACTTTGCGACCTCTCTCAGATTTGTTCATTTCATGATGTTATCTTCAATTCTCTAATTTTGGTGAATATTTTTGTCATTTTTTGGTAAAAAGTGATATTTTCTACTTCTTGTTAAAAACCGCAAGTCCGATTGTTTTTATGTTACATATATAGGTACTACATGTGGACCTCTTTCAGATTTGTTAATTCCGTGGTGATATCTTCAATTATCTAATTTTGATGATTATTTTTGTAATTTTTGCTTTGATACTATACATATTGTTCATTTTCTAATGATATCTTCTATTCTTTTATTGAAATGTGCATTGCTAACAGCGGAGCTATCTCAGCCGACTGTCTGCTTGTTTATTATTATTTATTGGGAACGGAAAGTCTTTATCGTAGTGCTTCGCCTCTGTTGACAATGAGCTCTTCGGGTCGCTAAAACTGTATGTCCACCTCTGTTGGGGTGAACATTTCTTATTATTATACTGAATAAATATTTAAACAGAAATTGTGGCACTCAATCATGGAAATTTTCCAGGTCATCGTTAGAAAGATTTTCGGAGGCAAATTTATCTCCACTCAAGAAGGATTGCAGGAAATTGACCCTTACCGATTCAGATTTATAAGTTAATCGGGATTTGGTACCATAATGTTTGTAACAGAATATTCCTAACGATACGCAAAAAAAAAAAAAAAAAAAAAAAAACTTTCGCGTGGGATTTTTAATGCAAACATTGTCAATGGTTCCCCGACACTGATTCCTTTTTAACTTTAAATTTTTCCAAGACGCGGCAAACCTTGCTCATGACTGGAGACGTCGTTGAGATGCAGGTGCTATAATTCCTCTTAGCAACGCATTCTTTTTATTTCCAACGTGTGTAGTCGGCCCCTTTGATTGCGTTTATTTTGTTCTTTTATTTCCTGAAATCTATCAGTAGCAGCGATTGTTTTGTCATGTTAATGTCCAAGCTGACTTTGTTTTGGCTGTTAGTGAACTACGTACAGCTCATGGAGGTATTTCGCCCAGAGTTTGCAAAACGGAATACCCTGCAGAATTTGAATCCTTTATTTTATAAAGAGACATTGGGCGCAAAAATAAAAACCATAACTTCAACAAGTTTATGTAACGTGTTAGTCTGCTTGCCAGTCGCCTAGTTAAAAAACATGATCTCCTTGAATGTCGGCTTCAACAACTTCGAACAAGTAAGATGGGTGCTCGCTGACATTACATTTGCAAGTATTGTATTTGTTTGACAAATTGTACAGTACGGTCATTCTATAACAATCGATCAGTCGTTTTTTTCACAGTCTTACTATTCCTGCATACATAGCTACTTGACTCGTGTTAAACCCAAACCATGCGTGCATGGCAACCATCACCCTACACATGGTTACTCGACGAATACCGTACTCTACAGTAGACATTTTTCGTTCTCCACCAAAAATAGATGGTTTTATTAGTCCCTGTTCGGACGCAATCTGAAAACGGGGACTTATGTTTTGACCTTCGTGTGTCCGTGCGTGTGTGCGTCCAGACCTGTATCTTAGAAATGAAATCAAACTTCACACATACATCATACATGATATTATACATATGCACATCAATTTGTTTCACGATCTGCTTCAAGATGGCTGAATGGCGGCCATTTTTGTGCTAAAAATCATCAAAATCAAGCATTTCTCGGCTGTTTACAGATGATTTTGTTCAAACTTGGTATATACATTAGACATTATAGGACCTTGATGCACATCATTTTGTTTTATGATCTGATTCAAGATGGCCGAATGGCAGCCATTTTTGTGCTAAAAATCATCAAAATCAAGCATTTCTCTGCTGTTTTAAGATAGATTTTGTTCAAACTTAGTATATACATTAGACATTATGGGACCTTGATGCAAATAATTTTGTTTTTCAGATAAGATTCAAAATGACCGACTGGTGGTCATTATTGTGCTAAAAATCATCATATATCAAGTATTTCTGGCATTTATGGATGGATTTCATTCAAACTTGGTACATACATTAGACATTACAGGTTCCTGATGCACATCATTTTATTTTTCAGATTGGATTCAAAATGGCTGACTGGCGGCCATTTTGTTATAGTGATTGGGCTTCTAGAGCCATATCTCTTAAATGCTTTGACTGATTATATATTCAAATTTCATATATTCGTTATACATCATGTTATATATATATACATGTATTCAAAATGGCTGATTTTGAATGCTGTTCCAGAGCAATATCTCTCAATATGAACAAGAACTTGTTTGACGATCAGATACAAATGTCAATCATTTTAATGTTAAAAAATAATATTCCTGACATAGTTATATTCCAGCTATATTACAATAAATAAAACTATATAGCTTAAATTTGATAACTAACGGGGACTATGCCATGCATGTTTGTATCATTGTCGTATGAGAAGTAATCTTGTCCTTATTAGAGATACATGTATTCAAACTAATCCAGGACCACAAACTTGTTTATCCAAACAGACACAACACTGACTCTACACATTTGCAGATCTGATTTGTATATTTCCTTGTCATTTTACCTGTTGTACTGGTTTGGTGCTATAGGGTTTCCTTGCTGAGAATAATGCTGACCTGGATGGAGAGTGCTATAAACTTGAAAATGCCATAGAAATCACGTTTGCCAATTTATGTCCATGCAACTTTAGAATGACTAGTGAAGGCAGTGTCATTCATGACTTGTATTCCAGCTATATTACTATAAACAAAACTATACATCTTAAATTTGATAACTAACGAGGACTGTGTCATGCATGGCTTGTTTCATATTAGTTGTGTCTGTGTCTGTGTCAGTGCCGTATTTGTTTTCACATGTTTGGTTCGATGTTGTTAATGGTGGACATTATTACTATGTGTATGTATTATTACAAATTTTATATGGCAGTGTGATCCACCGTATTTTTTCAACGGTCGTTCTATAAATTTCTGATTGTATTCATTCTTCTTTTAACATCATAGAAACAAAAATAATACATGTACATGAAACAATAGGTAATGAACTGTAAATGCAGGCGGTTATGCTGTCAGGTAAGCGAGCGAGCGGATACTTCCGGATTTGCGCGATCGAAAAAAAAGCGGAAATAGTTTGGTCGAATTGAACAAAGCGAGCGAAAAAAAAAAGCGATCGAAATCCGGAAGCGAACAGGAGGTTGGGGAAATGAGTACTGTACGTCTTCACAGAGTGCTAAGACAGGTGACCCAGCTGCTACATCGGTCTTCGGTCTATCTGAACCCATATTTCGACAACTGGTTAATACACAACCGAGACAGGGAGGTGTTAGTGGAGCATGTATGATTGACGCTATGCTCCTCCATGAGTTGGGCTTGTTAATAAGGAGCGATGCGACTCTCTTGCAGAGCTCGCCAGCCAACTCCGGTCAACAGGATCGGTGTTGATGCGCAAACTGATGCGGCCTGTTGGCAACGACTTCAGTTCGTCATCTGGTTTCGTTAGCAGTGTCCGGCCTCGTCCGATTCAGAGGGGCTTACTGGACTACAGGGTCCACAGGTGGAACCTAATGTTCAGGGTTCAATTGTCGGACCAAGTGATGGCGGTCCCCCCAGAACTTGGAAATGGGAATACCCCTAGATCCGACGACTCCCTCGCTGACTCTCATTACAGATGCGTCGCTCCAGGGATGGGGCAGTCATCTGATGGACCCTCATGTCCAGTGGACGTGGCCATCCGCATAGTCGGACCGCCACATCAATTTTGGAGTTGCAGACTGTCCTACTGTCTGTGAAATTTTTCAGGAAGTTGCACACCACCACAGAGTCCTGCTTCGCACAGACAACACCTCAGTAGCGTCTACATCAACAATGATAGGGAGGGGCGTTCCTCCACATTGCCGAAGCTAGCGGAGGAGATTTTCCTTTGGTGCCTGGATACCTAGTGGAGCTATCGGCTCACCACCTTCCTTGGATACGCAACAGCGCTGCGGACGCCCTCTCGAGAAGTATTCGGTTCCAGAACACTGAGTTGCAGATCCCCAATGGATCCCGGATAGATCTGTTTGCCGATTCACAAGAATGCCAAGCTCTTTTCCACCCTTCCAACTGGTGCACCAAGTGTTGGAGAAGTTACGACTCAAGCCCACCTGCCTTCTGACTTTAGTGACGCCTAATTGGCCAGTGAAGGTCTGGTTCCCACTGTTAAGGGATCTTCTAGTATGATCTTCTAGTTGAGTCACCCGTAGAGTTGCCGGATTTATTCTCCCAGCCGGACGACACTCTACCGATGAGCCCCACACTATTCCATCTTCACACGTGGAGGCTGTCTACAACTCGGGCAAGCGCTAGTCTTTTCTGCAGAGTTGTCCAAGTTCCTCGTTTCGACACAGTCGGACAGCACCAGACGTTTGTACAAATCTAGATGGAGACTGTACATTGATTGGTGTGATGGAAGGGAGATTGATCATCTCAGTCCCTCTATTGGTGAGGTAGCCGATTTTTTCCTATATTTTTTAATACAAGGGAAATCTATATCGACAATTCTTGGATATTGGTCAGTTTTATTTCCAGTTTTATCAGAATCTGCTGAATTGAAACTGGCTTTGAGTTCCATCATGATACATCTGTTTAGTCTTTCTGCTCAAAGAAGCCACGCGCCAAGGGGCTAGCGAATCCTCCAGACTGGGACTTGTCGTTGGTTCTAGCGGCATTACAACAACCCCCTTCGAGCCTATGGATAAGGCGGACATGAAGTATGTCACTATGAAAACGTCCTTTAGTGACGGACGTGCCTCCTTTATGAACTCAGTTATTTTGAAGACTTGGATGGGCTCAATCAACCAATCCAAGGGCGTGACCCTGAGTCGGTCGTCATCCCACGCATCACTAACTTAGTGGGCAAGGAGGGATGTCAAAACAGATTCTATGTCCTGTCCGAGCTCTGAGCTGGTACTGCTACCGCACCAAGGTGTCTAGGGGCAGTGAGAAGCGCATGTTTGTCTGTTATGGGCGGGGCAAACAGAGCCACCCTGCTTTGAATATCACCATTTCACGGTGGATTGTTGATACTGTTGTGGAAGCTTCTTTATCTGCTCGTTTGGAACATCACCAGGTGAAGGCACACAAAGTGCGTGGAGTAGCCAACTCATTGGCTTTGATGTCTGGGGCTTCGTTCAAGCGATGTCTGGGTGCGCCGAGTAGGGTTCTGGAGATCTCAGAATGTCTGCATTAACTAGTACCTGAGAGACCTCCAAGCGCTGGAGGAAGGTCTCTGCAGGTTGGGTCCAGTGGTGACGGGTCAGACAGTGTTCGTTGACCCAGCCCGCACCACCAAGGGGCCCTATGCGCGAACGCGTTAGCACGATAGTGTCTTCAGCCAAAACCAGCCTTCTTTGCTTGACGCTGTGGCTTGAAATTGGGGGGTCTACTCTCGGGCACCCGGTCCCTGAAGAGTCGCCCAAGTGGTTGTATCCTGGGACTAGACTAGTTAGTGAGTAGTTTTTCGGGCTGTAATCTGTAGTTATGCCTAACGAGTAATAAATGGAATTTATAAATGGAAATAAAGGTATGATTAGGTAAACAAACAGATTTGTACAACCCTAATAGTTTGCGTTTTGCACCACTTTTCCACTGTTTTTCACCATTTTGCACTACTTTGCACCACTTTTTCACTATTTTGCACCTAGTTTTGTGTTTTGCACCACTTTTCCACTACTTTGCACCTAGTTTCGCGTTTTTCATTGAGAAAATGCACATACCTAATTTGTGTATGCTTATGCATAAAGCTAAATTCTATTTTTGTTCATGGCTGATATACAGTAAGATAATGCTAGTAAAACATTGTAATGGTAATTATTTTTGCAGAACTAGGACCTCAAGTGAAGATTGTGACAGTTACCTGTTAGACAGCGATGATAGTGATGAACTGACATTTCAAGCAGCAAGTGTCAGAGCTAAGCAAAAACATAGAAGATCCAGTAGAGATATGTATGTATTACATTAGTGTATCCATTTTTCATTTTTGGGACTATTGAATAAGGTCTCCCAGTGGATACATGGGAGGGGGGGGGGGGCTATTCAGTTAGGTCTCCCAGTGTACCCATGGGGGACTATTGAATTATGTCTACCATTCTACCTATGGGAACACTATTGAATTAGATCTCCCAGTGTACCCATGGGAGACTATTGAATTAGGGCTATCATCTTACCCATGGGGACACTATTGAATTAGGTCTCCCAGTGTACCCATGGGGGACTATTGAATTAGGGCTATCATCTTACCCATGGGGACACTATTGAATTAGGTCTCCCAGTGTACCCATGGAGGACTATTGAATCAGTTTCACCATTGTACCCCTTGTTGGGACTGTTGATTATTGAGTCGGGTGCTACCAGTGTACCTGTGGAGGGACTTTTGAATCAGATCTACCAGTTATCCACTTCTGGGACCAATTTTACTGTATCTATTTGAATCTCAACAGTTGTGGAATTCTGTTGCACATGTTACACTCTGGATATAAGTTTTTTGTCTCTGTTTTCAGATCTTCCTCTTCATCTGCTGGTGTTACTGTAGAACATGGAGCAGAAGGAGAAACATTGGACTCACCATCTGCAGATTCAACTGAACATCGGATAAGGGAGATGTTTCGGATCAGAAAAGAACAGAAAGAAAAAGAAGAGCTGGAAATGAGAAAGGTTCACCAGCCTAGAGTTAAGAGAATTTATAAAGGACATCGCAATTCAAGAACCATGGTAAGATGAGATTTGAAAATACTTCTTTGATGTACTTCCTTCATATACTGTGAACTACTTTTTAATCCCGGTTCGGACATGGTCCGAAAACGGGGACTTATGTTTTAATCGTGTGTGCATGTGCGTCTGTCCGAACCTGTATCTTAGATAGCCTGGACCATTCATAATCGGACTTCACACATATACCATACATGATATTATACATATGCACATCAATTTATTTCACGATCTGATTCAAGATAACCGAATGGCGGCCATTTTTGTGCTAAAAAATCATCAAAATCAAGCATTTCTCAGCTGTTTACAGATGGATTTTGTTCAAACAAATTTTTCAGATCGGATTAAAAATGCTGACTGGTGGCCATTTTGTTTTAATGAATGGGCTTCTAGACCCATATCTCTGACTTGTTTTGACTGATTATGTTCAAATTTGTAATATTCATTATACATCATGTCGTAGACATACAGATATATTAGTTTGACGATCCTATTCAAAATGGCCGAATGATGGCCATTTTTATGCTAAAAAATCATCAAATATCAAGCATTTATGGATGGATTTTGTTCAAACTTGGTATATACATTAGACATTACGGGTTCCTGATGAACTTCATTTTATTTTTCAGATCGGATTAAAAATGGCTGACTGGCGGCCATTTTGTTTTAATGAATGGGCTTCTAGATCCATATCTCTGACTTGTTTTGACTGATCATGTTAAAGGGGAACTAAATAGAGCCTAATTTGGTGTTTTTATTTATCAATTTATGTATATTGATAATAAAATTTTGAAAAAAAAAATGAAAATAAAATTATTATCTTCAGAGTTAGGATGATTTAAATATGAGAAACCATAAACCTCATGAGGTAAAAACAGGAAAGGTAACAAAGCATGATGACGACATAGTATCTGATTAAATATAAACAACTTAGGGAGCCATAGTTGGCTGGACTGGTGAATTGACTTCTAGTCTAGGTTGTTTCGACTTTTACGTTAATAATATTTACAAGCGTATCAACATACAAACATTATGGATGTGCGATTGATCGAGAGAGGCATTTATTTTTGTCTAACTGTCTAATAAATGCTGTTTCCTGTACTACACTGCGTGCAAATTATTTCAAAGTCTGGATGCTGGAGTATGCAATCTTGAGTTTGTAGGGTTTGAACAAGGGGCATCATCGACGATATACTCTCATCACTCACACTGGCCTGATCTGAATCTTCACAGTATACCGTACTTCCCTAATCATTAGCCCGGAGGCATGAACACGTAAGGGAAAAGTGAGGGATGAGCTTATACTCGAGGACCAACTCAGAAAAGATTATTTTGTTTTGGGGTTAAACACTGGAACTATCTTGCCATTAATGAAAGATTATTCAAAAAAAATACTCGTTCACCATGCTGGGCTCGGGGAAAATAATACTTATTTTTGCAAAAAAAAATGGGTCATTGATTTACACGACACTTACAACTTGAATGAAGAAACAAAAATGTTCATAAAAAACACACACATTTTATTACAATACGATTTACATACCGTGAAATAATGGGTAGGGTCTGTGAGGAAACAGTCAAAGGCATTTATCATTATCTTCGTTTTGGTATATTTTCGATCATACGCAAACTCTCGACGCACTGAGGTTTTTCAGCACGATTTGACCTGAAACAACTTCCTTTGACCTAACAGGTCATGTCTTTCATTAACCAATCAAAATGATGTGTCGTAATGATAACGTTTTCCGATTATTGACGATGATTTTTTAACGCAATGCTGAAGTGAATTACCGCAATGTTAAAATGCGATCTGTAGCACTGATTGCAACGAAAAAACAATAATTTTTTTTCCTTAAAAACTGGCGATTCGCAATTTCCGAAAAGTAAACGACGGTTAATAGTAACCGTAGGTAAACTGGGTGTGGAGGAAAAATTTGAACACCTTTCACAATCGCCAACATGTCACATCGTTCAAACCCTAGGCCTTTCATGATAGTCTCAAAGTAAACCATGCCTGATAACCAGGTACACGCCTTGACGATCACATTTTTGGCTTTTCGAAAGCTACTACTCAAAGCACTTCAAATGCCTATCCATGTGCTACAGTTATAATTAAAATTAAAGCCGCAAGCGGCATCACCGGGGCCCAAGCTGACAAGATTAACTTTCATAATTAATGAGGTCACATGTTAGACAATCAGGTAGCTTGAATTATCAGTAACATGAGGTCAAAATAAAGTTGGTAACATGTATTTACCTGGTTTGGTTATCGAAATATGGTTTTCAGGATATATAATGAGCCATGTTCTTATGCACAATAATGAGATTACATAATCATATACAGCCATTTCTAATGTCAGTTACATCTTTCATTCAATATCTTCATAATGACACTAGTTACACGTCCTGCTCTGCAACAGTGTTTTAGATATGACTACTATGCATATTAATGAGTTCACATGACCATATATGGTCATCTGTTATTTTAATCAGATCTCTTGTTCACTGTTATGATAACACAGGAATCATCCTTCTAACTACAACAGTGTTTGAGATATAATGGTTATGCATATTAATGAGTTCACATGACCATATATGGTAATCTGTTATTTTAATGAAATCAATTGTTTAATGTTGTCATGATAACACAGGAATCATCCTTCTAACTACAACAGTGCTTGAGATATATCAATTATGCATATTAATGAGATTAGAAGCCTCCACCTCTTAGGCAGGCGCCCAGCGACAAAACCCAGCCACGTGCCATTCGGTTGAAAGAATGCATCTCAAGAGTAGAATGCACATATACAATTTTAGCCAAATCGGACCAATACAACACATGTAATTGCACAAGATTTGTTTTCATAAAATCCAAGATGGCGGCCAAACCATGTGACTGATCAAAATAATATTATTTTTCTCACATGCAGCTAAGGCTAGGCATGGTAAATATAAAAACATTTAGTAGATTGGTTGAATCACCTCTGAGAAACAAATGCTCAAAGTTTTGGTCAATTTTGCTTAAAATCCAAGATGGCGGCCAAACCATGTGACTGATCTAAAATCTTTTTTAGGTTTCTGAAAGAGATTGATATAGAGATGCCATACATCAATATTGAAAATAATCTCTCAAGTGTGGCATGAGTAAAAAAAAACTACTTCCTGTTTAGAAGAAATCCAAAATGGTGGTCAAACCATGTGACCAAGGCTTGGGCCCCTAATTAAAGCCGCAAGCGGCGTCACCGGGGCCCAAGCTGATAAGATTCTGTTTCATAATTAATGAGGTCACATGTTAGACAATTAGGTAGCTTGAATTATTCGTAACATGAGGTCAAAATGAAGTTGGTACCATGTATTTACCTGGTTTGGTTATCGAAATATGGTTTTCAGGATATATAATGAGCCATGTACTTATGCACAATAATGAGATTACATAATCATATATAGCCATTTCTAATGCCAGTTACATCTTTCATTCAATGTCTTCATAATGACACAATTTAATTTTTATTTATTTAACACTTTATTTAAAGAGGGTAGGCCAATATACAATAAAGTAATTTTCATTGGGCCCTCTGTAGGGACAAAAAACACAATATACATATTATAGGCTTGAGCCATTTACAACAAATTTTTCACTGAGATAAATTTTGTAGGTTTTCTTAAAAATGCCTATAGAGGCCGAATTTCTGATATGGAATGGCAAGTTATTCCATAGGGTTACCCCTCTATACTGAAACGTCCTCTGACCCATGGATGTTTTCCATTTAGTAATGCGTAAATTATTTTTCAGAGAGGAACGTGTACTATACTTGTGGGTTTGGGAGATAGGACTGAACATTTCACTTATATATAAAGGCGGCAAGCCATTGGTTGCCATATACATTACGATACCTAGAAAATATGAAATTCTGTAATCGATAGGCAAGATACTATGTTTTTTGAACAGTTCAAACGACTATTGGCTAAAGTTGTCAGAGGAAATCACACGAACTGCCCTTTTCTGAAGCTTATACACCCGACATAAATTTGATTGACTTGTATTTCCCCATACTATACAGCAAATAATCCCTCAAGTGTAGCATGAGTAAAAAAACTACTTCCTGTTTAGAAGAAATCCAAAATGGTGGCCAAACCATGTGACCAATCGTAATAATTTTGTCAAACATAAATGGGCTTCATATATAGAAGCCAAAGACTATATATGAGAGCATTCTGCTTGGTGGTTCTGAAGAAGAAGATTTTTAAGTGTTTTTTGCCGTTTTCAGGGAAAACAAAATGGCGGGAAAAGTCACGTGACCGCTAAAGTTTTGATTGCTGATAATTATTACACATGAGTTGTACTATATACCATAAAAAAATCTAGACGCCTAGACCCTCAGAAAGTGGTCAAACAGCCACTTCCGGTTTTATTTCAATCCAATATGGCTGCCAAACTAATTGACCAATCGAAATTCTGAAAGCATGTTGCACTAGTTCACATTAGGGAGTATCAGTATAGAGCATTATCAGATCATTCCGTTCAGCGGTTTTCTCAAACAGCTTGACGAAAAAAGTTACGGAAGAAAGAAGAAAGAAGATGAAGAAAAAAACAGACAATAAGAATAGGGGCCTCGCCCTTCGGGCTTGGGCCCCTAAAAAACCGGACAATAAGAATAGGGGCCTCGCCCTTTGGGCTTGGGCCCCTAAGAAAGAAGAAAGAAAGAAGAAAGAAGAAAAAAACGGACAATAAGAATAGGGGCCTCGCCCTTTGGGCTTGGTCCCCTAACAAAATTAAACCACTGCAATATTATTTTGAATACAGTTTAGAATATACACAACTATAAATTAAGGCTGCATTTAGGTTCGCTTTAAAATTTTTAATATTCATTATACATCATGTCATAGATATATGGATATATTGGTTTGACGATCCTATTCGAAGTGGCCAAATGGTGGCCATTTTTGTGCTAAAAAAATCATCAAATATCAATCATTTCTTGCATTTATGGATGGATTTTGTTGTAACATACATTAGACATTACGGGTTCCTGATGACATGCTTTGACTGATTATGTTCAAATTTTATATATTCATTATACAGTATGTTATAGATATATACATGTATTCAAAATGGCTGATTTTGTTTTAGTTAATGCTGTTCCAGAGCAATATCTCTCAATATGGACAAGTACTTGTTTGACGGTCAGATACAAATGACAATCATTTTAATGTTAAACAATCATCATAATCATATTCCATACATGGTTGTATTCCAGCTATATTACTATAAACAAAACTATATATCTTAAATTCGATAACTAACGGGGACTGCATGTATGGCTTGTTTTAGCTGGAATTAATTTTCACTGATTTTTGATGAGTTGAAGGTAATATAAGGTAATTTTTTATCCATTGCAGATTAAAGAAGCTAATTTTTGGGGCAATCATTTTGTGCTGAGTGGGTCAGATTGTGGTCATATATTTATATGGGATCGGTACACTGCAGAGTTAGTCATGTTATTGGAAGGAGATAAGCATGTTGTAAATTGTGTACAACCTCATCCATGTGATCCAAGTAAGTGTGAACTTTCTATGCAAGGCACTCACTTCATTTCTCTACTTTTTAGCTCCACTGTCGACTTTGTCGAGCAGAGCTTATTATATGAGTGATTGTCCGTCGTCGTCCATGTCAATGTTTTACTTTTTCGACTTCTTCTTGAAAACTACAAGCCTGAATGCTTTGATACTTGGTGCATATGTACCTTGGGTAGACCTCTCTTGGGTTTGTTCATTTCATGATGATATCTCTTCCATTCTCTAATTTTTAGTCCCCGTTCGGACGAAGTCCGAAAACGGGGACTTATGTTTTGACCTCCGTGCGCGCGTGCGTGCGTCTGCGTGCGTCCGTCTGTGCGTGCGTCCGGACCTGTATCTTAGAAATGCCTGGACCAATCACAATCAAACTTCACACATACATCATACATGATATCATACATATGCACGTCAATTTGTTTCACGATCTGATTCAAGATGGCCGAATGGCGGCCATTTTTGTACTAAAAATCATCAAAATCAAGCATTTCCCGGCTGTTTACAGATGGATATTGTTCAAACTTGATATATACATTAGACATTATAGGACCTTGATGAACATCATTTTGTTTTACGATCTGATTCAAGATGGCCAAATGGCGGCCATTTTTGTGCTAAAATATCATAAAAATCAAGCTTTTCTCGGCTGTTTACAGATGGATTTTGTTCAAACTTGATATATACATTAGACATTATGGGACCTTGATGCAAATAATTTTGTTTTTCAGATAACATTCAAAATGGCCGACTGGCGGCCATTTTGTTTTAATAAATGGGCTTCTAGACCCATATTTCCAACTTGTTTTGACTGATTATGTTCACATTTTAAATATTCATTATACATCATGTCATAGATAGACAGATATATTGGTTTGATGATCCTATTCAAAATGGTTGAATGGTTGTCATTTTTGTGCTAAAAAATATCAAGCATTTCTGGCATTTATGGATGGATTTCGTTCAAACTTGGTACATACATTAGACATTGCGGGTTCCTGATGCACGTCATTTTATTTTTCAGATCAGACTCAAAATGGCTGTCCGGTGGCCATTTTGTTTTAATGAATGGGTTTCCAGACTCATATGTCTGACTTGTTTTGACTGATTCTGTTCAAATTTTTAATATTCATTATACATCATGTCACAGATATACGGATATATTGGTTTTACGATCCTTTTCAAAGTGGCCTAATGGTGGCTATTTTTTGTGCTAAAAAACTTTTATTTTTTAGATCGGATTCTGAATGGCTGACTAGTGGCCATTTTGTTACCTTGCCCGTACCATCAAAGATGGAAGGGAAAGGTATATTAAGGGAAAAATTTTGTCCGGCGTTGTCGTCGTTGTTGTTGTTGTCGTCGTCATTAATAATTATTATTGTGTGCATAATAACTTTACTAATTCTATTCCAAACTTTATCAAACTTGGTCACCTTATTCATCAGTATAAAGTCTTCCCTGAGTTTGAACAACAGATGTCCTGTATGAAAATATCATGCAAAAATTGAGAAAATCTGATAAAATATTTTGACTGTTTCTACTTGACTGATCACTGGTGATGCACATCAAAGGTCACTGATCTCAGTGGAAATATGCATTGTTGTATGTGTTCAATGAAGCAAATGATTTATCTTGTAATAATATCCTTGGTAATGTATCTCAGAATCCCATACTGGGTTTCAAAACCAACTCATGGAGAGATTGCACAGTCTGATACACATTTGCAAACCTACCAATAAAATCTTTACAGAAAATAAGATGTCAGAAAATCATATAGCACTCCTATGAACTGGGTGCCTAACTTTGATCAGATCTGAAGCTAATAGAAAATCTGTTTAGTT